CTCTAGCAACGTTAGAGGCCAGAAGACAATAAAGAATTCCCTTAAATATTTAAAGGAAAATTATTTAAAATTCAGAATATAACCCAACCAAACTATGGACAGATGGAGAATTTTAAAACATTTTTGGACGTCTGAACTGTCAACACATTTACATTCCAGGAAGAGGAGAATATATTCCACCAAAAGAAGTCAACTGATAAAAGATTCCTTTCTGAGAATGTGCAGCCAATGCATTGCAGTCTCTGCAGGGAGTTGCAGTCCAGGACTCCGAGGTCCTTCCAGACCCATCAAGCTCTTTTGAATATTTACATTCCTAGGTCTCTATCCAAGGCCAGTCAGAGGTCTTTTTCTGTAGGAGTTGAAGGGGAAGTGAGAGGAAGGAGGAGGAAACCATGAAGAAATTTTTCATCATTCTAACTCAATAGCTACTACTTTCCCACTCGGAGCCCTTCCTTCTTTCTTTCCTCCTCTGTCCCCACCCACCTCAGGATCCATAAAACCACCAGAGCTTTTTGTTTTCCCTCAACTGTGAGACACCTATGTCCAGGTTTATGGACCTGACCACATTCCGTGAGGGAAATGGAACAGAGGCAGCGCTTCCTCTGCTTTTTGCCTCTTACTTATACAACTGCAATAAGTGATTAAAGGTTTAACTCTTTCCTTTTTGGCTTGTAGCTTTAACTGGCTACTCAGACACCTGGGCGCTCAGTTCTCGCTCCCTGCTGAGCTGAGCTCCTGACAGCCTCATTCCCCAGGTTACGACTAATTGCAAAAAGTCATTTCATGAAATTTTGCACGAGTGAGCCAGACAAGCTCATGGTCTCCAGGATTCATTCTCTTGGCCTGGGTGGGACAGTTAAGATTCCTGATTCCAAAGTATTTTTACAGGGATTATTAATTGTTCCTTTTTTTTTTTTTTAAAGATTTTATTTATTTGACAGACAGAGATCACAAACAGGCAGAGAGGGCAAAGCAGGCTCCCTGCTGAACAGAGAGCCCTAGGTGGGGCTCGATCCCAAGACCCTGAGATCATGACCTGAGCCAAAGGCAGAGGCTTAACCCACTGAGCCACCCAGGCGCCCTATTGTTCTTGTTTTTATCATAATAGCCTCATGTTGTTCTATTGTATGTGTTAAAGTAGGCCACAGTTTCAATACACCTCTACATCAAACACTCATCATCGCGTCACCAAAACTTAAAGCTACTATGATTTCCCTAAAATTCTGACTCTGACCTGAAACAAAACCTAAGCTTTTTCCATGTCAACATAACCTTGTAGCTTCCTAGCTAATCAGACACAAACAGGTAAGCTTACGTGGTACTACTATCCTAAAAGGAATGTATTTCTAGGAGCCAATCACAACACAAAACAAGGTGCCTTCATTTATGCTTTATAAACTGAGCTTCAAGTCACTTTTGGTTTGGAAGTCTTCCTATTTCCCAACAGTTTGTCTCCCACTCAAAATATTTGTCTCATGTAAAGTTTTCTGAATTTTCTTTTGACACCTTCTATCCAGAGTCCTGTGCTTCTACACAGTCACACTCTCACTAGATGATCTCCAAGATGATCCATGAACAAAGAAGGCAGCAAGATCTTGCAATATAATTGATTACGAAGACAAAAGAAGGCTCTCCAAAAAGTGAAGATCTGGATCTCTCATTTTCCCTGAACTTGTCAACACCTCAAAAATAAGAGAATGGCCAAAAGTGGGAACTGAGAGACTGAATATATAAGTGAACAATAGCCAGATACATTTTCTGTATGTTTAGAATTTTCCACAATACAAAATTTAAAATACTTTTAAAATGTCAGTGTCATTAAAGATTAAATTAAACAACAGATAGTGAATCTAGATTAAAGGAGAATAGAGATATAAGTAAATGCAGTGTACGCTCCTTGATTGGACTGTAGATTTTTAAAAATTAGCTATAAAGTACATTATTGGAAAAATTGGGCAATTGAAATTGGACTATATATTAGACAAGAGTATTGAATCAATGTTATATTTTTGGATGAATTTTATATGGTTATGTAGGAGAATATCTTTGTTCTTAGGAGATAATGTTGAAATACTTGGAATAGAGTATCACGATGTTTGCAACTTATAAACAGTTCATGAAAAACTGTATGAAGGTAGAGATAAAATAAATGAAAGAAAATGTTAACTGGTAAAACTGAAAAGTACAGAATGTAAATTTAATATTCTTACAATTTTCTCATACATTTCCCATACTTTTTTCAAAATAAAAAGTTGGTGGGAAAGGAATACAATAAAATACATGTAATATTACAAAGAAGTAAAAGTAAAAATTCCCAGATACTTGTATCTACATTTGGTGCAATGGAAGGATAATCCAAAAATGGATAATAGTTAACTATATTGGAAAGAAGACAGGATAAATAAGAAGGGATTGAAAACTAGATTTTTCTGAATATACATTTTCCATAATGTTTTTGAAATGGACCTTGTAAATTATTCTTATATTCTAAACAGACTATCAGTGATGATTTTCGTTTGACTATTATTTAGTAGTGTGATATAAAGTCTCCTTATCTATCCATCCATCCATCTATCTATCCATCCATCTGAGGGAACCAGTATATAATTACTGTTTGTAAATGCTCCTAAACATTAGGAAAATGTCCTATATTCAGAACTATAAGGGTTTTATTATATTCTTTTTCTGAATGATTGCTCCTTGCTTGTGATCTGTTAAATATCTCTTTACTAGTTTATTTTCTCCATTTTAACCATTTTTCCTATCTGTCATATATATTTTGATGTTGTTATTTGTAACATTTTTCATTGTACAGAGATTCCTTAAGAGTTGAAGATGACAAGAAATGAAGCTATGAAGAACAAAGCTTTTCATTGAGAATCAGTTCACTCACATACTTTATTGTCTGAACCCAAAGTTCCTCAGACTAGTTCTTCCAGGGCTAAGCAAAGAAAATGAAATCATGTGGTCTGCTGACATCTTCTGGGTGGTATTTTTTTTTTTTATGGAGTGTAGAGAGCTTAAATAACTCGCAATCAGCCACAGAGCTAGAAAATGCTGGAGCACTATTCAAATCATGCCCCCTCCCTGTCAAAATTAAATTAAGAAAGATAGAGTGATTCTTCTTGGCAGATTCTGCTAAATGCCAAAAAATTCCATATGAAGCTGCCATGAGGTCAGGAAATAAAACTCAAGGCTTGCTAGATGTAGGAAACTTAATATGGAGTTTCTGCATTAAGCTAGGACCCCTAATGGCTATACTTCCAAAGTAAAACTACATCAGAAATAAATTTTGCTATCTAGATGGGAATGGCAAAGGAACATGTCTAGGTCTTGCCTTTCTCAAGTATGTCTTAACCTAATTACTACCTAAGTAATTAATTAGTATTGCTAATTAATTACTACAAACCAGCCTTGTGGCTAATTCATGCTGTATGTAGGAGCCTGAAAAATTTCAAGATCATTTGAAGTGGCTTCAGGTCGGATGCATCCTTAAGAGAATGACTGAAGGAAAATATTACTAATTTATGAAATGATGAAATTATATCCCTTATGCCCAAGTTCAAAAAAATTAACCCCAGATGGTTCAAGGATTTACATATTTAGAAAACTTAGCAGTCTTAGTAAAAAGTATAGTGAGTATCTTTAGACCTCAGGGCACAGAAGGATTTCTTAAGGAAGAATGCACTTAACTAGAAAGACTTACAAGTCTGACTATATTGAAATTAAAAATTTCACTTATCAAAAGACACCTCAATGTGAAAAAAAAATTTAAACTTGAAGAAGACATTCATAATACATACAACTGGAAAAAGATTAGTAAGAGAGTGAGGGAGAATACCTGAAAGGGAGAACTTTCATATATTACTTTATATCCTGGAGAACTTTTCTTTTACAATGTGCATATATTAACTTTTAAAATTAAATTGAAGAAATAAAAATATCCACTGAAGTTAGAGTCAATATCTCCACTCATAGAGATTATCTGATAATCTTTGAAGCCCAGCTGATGTGAATGAGAGAATTCAGGACATTAATACTATCAGCCTTTTGTAAATGATCAAAATTTTCCATTGAAAGGATTTTTAAAACAGACATATCATAGCTAATAGTAAGAACAAAAGTTTTCACAGAATATTCTATCTATTCTAGAACAACTACCAAACAAGATTTCTAGAAATGCACTAGAAAAGTATGGGATAATACACACCAGCTTCAGGGCAATGATTTCCTGTGCGGAGGGAAAGGAAAGATGCTTTAAGCGCTATCTATTTTAAAGAAGAGAGAGGTGAGGCAAACGTGGGAAAATGTTAACATCTTGTTAAATGGGGCGGTGGGGGGGGGGTTGTTACATAGATACTGGTTACATAACTTTTTGAATGTGTGAAATCTTTCATAATTTATATTTTTAACTAAAATTAAGAACACTGGGAAGAAATATGCACCAACACTAGTTGTTTCAGGATGTTGGAAATAAACGGGACTTGTCTATAGTCCCTACGTGTTCTATAGTGACCACCTCCGACGTTTATATTTTAAAACACGACACACTTGCCTGAAGGGTTTTGAAGTAGTAACCTAGCGGAGAAGAGTGGGGAGACGTCAGGGGGCAGAAGGGCGAAAGCTGTAGATTCGAGGAGCCTGCCCTCGGCCGGATCCACCTACCTACCTCTGGACGGAACCGCAGAAACCTTAACGCAGGCAGAAGTGAGTCCAGGTCAACGAGGCCGCCACTCAGACCACGCTGTCAATCAGCTGTGCGCTGGGGCAGGGACCTTTGAGGCTAAGCGATACCTGACTCGGCGGAAACGATCACGGAGAGCCTCTGAGAGCGGGCTGAAACTCAAATGAACTCTGGTTCAGGATCCGGAACGAAGCCCGGGTAGCTGGCTCCCCACGCCACCAAGGAAAGGCTCCCGGTGTCCATTGGGTCGGCTCACCCGGAACGCATGACGAGGAGCCGCAGGAAGAGGCGGGGCTGGCCGGAAACCGTAAAAAGGGGCACAGCCTTCTCGCTTCACTGACCTTCCGCCGGCGCTTCCTGGCCCTTGCTCTGCTTGGGCTGCTGGACCTAGCATGGTCGACGACGCAGGTGCTGCTAAGGCCCAGGGGGACGAATGGACGCCTGCCCAGTCCCTGAACAGACTGCTCAGGTCACCACTTCCAGCACCGCGGATTCGCTCCCGGCCGTGGTGGTTCCCTGTGCAGGAACTGAGAGACCCACTGGTGTTTTACCTGGAGGCGTGGCTGGCTGACTCGATCTTTGGTGAGCCACCCCCAGGTGCTGGTGGTATGACCCCTCCAGTCCAAGAGGAGAGGGACCCCGCAGAGCCACTCTCAACAGTCTCTGCCGGATTGGCAGAGCACCTTAGACGCCACGATGCCCACCTTCCAGCTCTTCCCTTCTCTGGCCAACATTCAAATTTAGCTCCTACTCACCTTGGACCATGCTTCCCCTCAGAGTCTCTCTTTTTCTGTGTAGGCCCAGACCGAGCGGTAATTCCAGAAATGGAGTGGATGAGCCAAGTCCTGCTTATGGTAGACATAGTTAACTCTGGGGACTTAGTTGAAATCACCATCTTCGGACGGCCCCGTGTACAAAATCGGGTGAAGAGCGTGCTCCTGAGCCTGGCATCCTGGCACCAGAAACTTCGTGCCCGAGGTGAGGGTCTCTAAAATCCTGCATGTGGAGGGAACCACTGGTGCAACACCTGGCTGTACCAGGTTTTCTTCCTACCTTACCAAAACTTTTTGCAGTTTCCTAACGCTGGTGTTCTGTGTGCAGCCCCTGGGCGTTCCTTTGTGAGAAGAGTCCCAAGTGGGACCCTGGGAAAGTAAACTGAGATCTAATACATTCAGGCCTGTCACTGCCCATGCAGCCTGGTTTCACCACTATTTCCAGATCTCAGGTTCAGAGCCTCCACCTGAGAAGTGATGCTGCTAGGACCTCCCCTCCTCCCCTATACTACCCTCAATGATGAAGTAGTCTGGAACAGAAAGCGTTTTTCCTTATTCAGCTGAGAAGATGAAACAACTTGAGGAAGTCTTGAAGGCACGTGCATCAGAGCCCCAGACTCCGGAGCATCCTGTTGCATAAGTATTGATGAAAAAAAAGTACAGGAGCACTGTGAGAAACGGTCCTGCTTCTGCTACTAAAGTTCAAGAGAAGCACATATCCATACATCTCAGCATTCTTTTTTTCTTGTCTTGCTTTATTTTGATGCAAAAGTGAGTTTGTAGTGCCATTCTAGTAAAGAAATGAATTTCCTTTTTGTCCATTGACATAACGATCTTTGCTCACTTAAATTTAAGCAAATATATGAAAGATTGATTCTGTTCATTCATGTCTTGATGTGTGGGGTGGGTAATAGGCTGATAGGTAGTGGTTTTATTTTTGTTTTTTCCTTTGTCTCTATCATTTTGAATCTACTAACCCTTTTATGATTTTATGGCCAGAGTCAGGCCCTCAAGAACAGGCCCGTGAATTTGCATTTCTAATAAGCTCATAGGTAATACCAATGCTTCTCCTCTAAGGCTCTCAGTTTCAAGTTGGTGGATTGGCCTCTGGATAGCACCGAGTGTGCTTTTTCTTCTTGGAGTGGAGGCTTCCTCCCTGCGCACGGGTGGGTGCTCCAACATGAAAGCTGAGGCAATCAGTTATTTCTTCTTTTAGCGTTGTGATTCACCAGAGAACACCCAGGGTCCTTGGCGTCTTGTTGTTGGAAGGCATCCTGCCACCAAGCCAGCTGTCTCATTTTCTTCTGAGGCCTGCACAGGTGCCCTGCATGAACTGGGCTGTTTCTCCCTTACCCATTACCATGCTATGACCAATTTGTGCAAGACAACCCAACCTCTTGCCACCTCCACTTTCAGGAAACCGGATTCTTGGGAGAGAGATTGTCAAGAGCTCTGTGGCTTCAGCACAGAGTTGGAATGGATTTAACTCATGAAGTTTCTTCATCCTTATGCATGATAGGATTCTAGCTGTTTACAGGGATTTAAACACACACAAACAAGTCTTTTAATTTTAAAGATTTTACTTATTTATTTATTTAGAGCTCTGCAGAAGTCGGGGGGTTGCTGCAGAGGGAGAGAGAATGAATCCCAAGCAGACTAGAACTGCTCAGATGTGGGGCTGGATCCCACTACCCTGATATAACGACCCGAAATCAAGAGTAGGAGGCTTAACCGACTGAGCCACCCAGGCGCCTCAAGGATGTGGATTTTATTATCCATACAAGCTTTTGTAACAAATAATAGTCCATTATAACCGGTATTTTCTACCCCTTTCCTTCTCAAAATTTTGCATATGAAAAATTTTCACTGTATGCAATTAAACTAATTATTGTTTTCTGTGTGATTTCCCCTTCTCCCAACCCATTACTTTTAGGTTTAAGTACTCTTGCTTTTTCTCCTCGTGCAGAAATTTGATAAAAATATTCCTACATGTTATTTCTAGTGGGAAATCCACAAAGCCATTGAACATTGTTTTACTGTTATGCTTAGAACATTCTAATTCTAAAAATTATCCAGAATTAAATTACTAAGTGATCCTACATATTTTCATCCTTTATTTGAAGTAACATGTTGAAACCCTAGCCCCTAGTACCTCAGAATATGACTGTATTTGGAGAGGCCTTTAAAGAGATAATTAAAAAGAAATGAAGTCCTAAGGGTGGGCCCTTCTTGAAGATGACTGGGGTCTTTATGGGTAGAAGAAATATGTACACAGATAGGTGAGTACATAGAGAAGACCATGTGATGAGACAACAGGATGGCAGCCATCTGCCAGCTAAGGAGAGAGGCCTCGGAAGAAATCAACCCTGCTGACACCTTGATTTTGAACTTTCAGCCTCCAGATCTTTGAGAAAATAAATCTCTGTTGTTTCAGCCTCCCAGTCTGTTACTTTGTTATGGCAGCCCTAGCAAACTCAAACATTTAGTATAGTTTTTCTGTGTTCTGTTTCACTATGTGCTGATACAGCATTTTTAACTACCTTCATAGCTTTTTAAAAAAAGGTTTTATTTATTTATTTGTCAGAGAGAGAGAGAGTGAACACACAAGCAGGGGGAGCAGCAGGCAGAAGGAGAAGCAGGCTGCCTACTGAGCAGGGAGCCCAATGCAGGACTTGCTCCCAGGACCTTGAGATCATGACCTGAGCCAAAGGCAGATGCTTAACCAACTGAACCACTCAGGTGTCCCCTTTCATAACTTCTTAAAAAAAAAAAAGAGTAGCGCTGTCATTCTACTTTTCAGAATTTGAGGGTAATGGTAGCTAGTTGTGAGTTTGTATCATATACCAGGCCCTGTGCCAAGCATCAAAATAGGACATGATGAGCTTGCTAAGGTCACAGAGGTGAGATGTGGGGATGAATGGGTGAGATTTGAACCAAAACATTGATTTCAGGATCCAAACCCTTTATACTTTCCCACTGGCTTATTTTTCTCCACACCCAAATTCAGACTCATTTCTCATAGTTTTTATTTCTTTTTAAGAGGAATTGGAATAAACCTCTTAACTGTAAAGAATGAACAGTATTCTATTGAGGCACAAGACTTTTTTTTGTAACAAGTCACTAGAATAAAGCTATTTATTAGTCCTACATCCAAGATAAAAATAGCATTATTGACTTTCCTTTTTTTTTTTTAATTTATTTATTTGACAGAGAGAGAGAGAGAGAGAGATCACAAGCAGGCAGAGAGGCAGGTAGAGAGAGGGCGGGGGAAGCTGGCTCCCTGCCGAGCAGAGAGCCTGATGTGGGGCTCGATCCCACGACTCTGGGATCATGACCTGAGCCGAAGGCAGAGGCTTAACCCACTGAGCCACGCAGGCGCCCCGACTTTCCTTTTTTTAAATAACTGTTTTTTGCTTTATTCTGTTTACATGTGACAGCCTCAAACCCAACACTTGGCTTTTGTCTCTTGACTTTGTTATTCTTTCACTATATCACAGAAACTTTTCCCCGCTAGTATATGCAATTTGTTCCTCATCCTGTAGGTTCTCAAAGATCATGGCTCTCCAGCACCAGTACCTGGGTCCTCCCTTTTGACTGTACCCGTGTCTGTCTGTGCTGGGGCTCTGCCCTGGTCCCATCACCCCTGAGGTGCCTTAGGCCAGAAATGCCAAGCAGGCTGCATGTTATGTGCCAACTCTGAACAAGTACAAGTGCTGCTTGGACTCTAGGATTGAGGGAAGTGAGGCAGGCTGTGTCTGGGTTCCATTACAAAGACTGCTGTGCTTGATCCGTGGGAACACCCTCTGGACATATCTGGAACGAAGGACCCTGGGGGAAAAGCTGCATGCGGGCCACAGCCTCAGACATGGGACAAAGCTTACATTCCATCCTTACCTTTGCAGTTGTTCTGCCTCCCAGGCTGTATTGTCTCACAAATTAGGTGGCTGAGAAGGCATTCTGAAGGCCATGAAGGTACAGGTAGCTTCCCTCCACCCTGGAAAGAACAGCATAAGCCCCAAGCTAGAGGGAACTTGGAAGGATAGCTCCCTCAGGGGCCTATGGGGATCCGCAAGTTGCAGGCCATGCTGGCATTAGCTTCTGATCCTCTGGAGTCCATTTCATCCAGGGAAAGTTAGCTGGCTGGCTGTCAGAGGTAGATGCAATTTGGGAGTAAAAACACTTCTCTATGACATACAGAAATAACCGTAATCTTTGGATAAACTTTAAAGAATTTCCAGTCCAAACTAAAAAGCTTTGTCTTCTATGTGCTATCCAGAAACCAAAATAGAGCAGAAGGGCCATCTTATTTTAATCAGTTCCAGAAAGAGGGCACACTGCTTTGGAAAGCACTGTCTCAGCAGAAAATACCAAAGGCACAAACATAACCCCAACTTGGCCTTCCACTTCCCCGTGATACCCTGGATGGGGAGGCAGCTTCTTTCAGCTGATTTTGGGAATGTCGGGGTGCTCCATGAGAGTGTCCAGGGGTCAGAAGTCTTCCACTCTCTGATTGTGGGTTTTGGATGCTTCAGGATCCTTTCCATTTGCTGCTTCTCCTGCATCTTCTCAAAGGCTGCCTGAAGGTGGGTCTGCTTGTCCAGGCTGTGCTGCTTCTCCTCCTTTTCATTCATCCCTTTTGCTCATTCCCATTGTTTCCAGGAATTTTACCTTTGTCCATCTTTTTCTTCCTCCGCTTGGTCATGCCAAGCTCTGCCACGCTTTTCAGCTTCAGGGGCTCCTTTTGGACCTGCTTGTATGCCTCCATGATGCCCATCTGTTCTGCGTGGATAAATGTTGTTGTGATTTGTCCCACATAACCGACCACCTGGACATGCATATACACAGGCAGGCTAAGGAATGTTGTTTGGGAGACTCGTGCTGTGTGAATAACCTTGGGAGTCTGATTGTTTAAACTATATTATCTGGCCTCCATGTCAGAACCGGCCCTTCTGTTGTGGATGCCAGGAGCTACAAATCTTTTATTTTTAAAAAATTTTTTAAAAGATTTTATTTATTTACTTGAGAGAGAGAGAGAGGGAAAGCATGAGAGGGGAGAGGGTCAGAGGGAGAAGCAGACTCCCCACTGAGGAGGGAGCCCGATGTGGGACTCGATCCCAGGACTCCAGAATCATGACCCGAGCTGAAAGCAGTTGCTTAACCAACTGAGCCACCCAGGCGCCCAGAGCTACAAATCTTATCTCACATCCTCTCCTGCTCCAGGCTCGGCTGGCCCCCCAGAATGGAATCCAGGAAAGAAGGCAGATACACAGCCCAGGTTCCTTGAAAATATAGAAACATGATAACGTGGAAATGCACCTTGCTCCAAACTGCATGTAGGCGAACAAATGTTTCATTTCAAACCTGTGATTTGCCCTATAATAATGGCCCTTATGGGAATGGTCAGTTGGAAGTCTCACCCGAGGGGAGGACCCTGCACCCAGGCCTCTCTATCGGGACCCCAGCCTGGCTGTTTCCATTGGGTTCCCCGGCTGAAGAGGCTGGATGTAAAAGTACTCAAGTTGATGTAACTTTGCCTTATTTTCACTTATTGCCGACTATGAGCTTCATCTCTGTGTAGATTCCTTTCCTCTCCTGTTTCTATTAGGTTTCTGTAATAAAGTTTCCTTTCTTTTTCAAAACTGAAACATGGCTGTTGTGAATCTTTTGTTCAGAATACCGTCTCAGATTTACTAATTTTTCTTTTCCTTTCCCTTCCCTTTTCTTTTCTTTCTTTCTTTTTTTGCCTTTTTCCCCCCTTTCTTTTCTTTTCTTTCTTGGACTTTATTTTTTCAGACAAGAGCAGGTGGGGAGAGAAGCAGGCTCCCCACTGAGCAAGGAGCCAGATGCAT